TTTTTAAATAATGTGTGGCTTAGGCTGATACTATTTTCCTCCAGAGGGATTTTTCATTGATCTTAGGGGACCTAGAGCTACACCCTCTAGGGGTTGGTGAGGGGGGTGCTACCAAACCAGGACCATTTTTAACTCAAGTTCAAAGCTTGAGGTTTCCTAGGACACCTAAGTGACAACGTCCATGGTAGCCTGGTTTATATGCAGTTCACCCTTCCCCCAAAGTACAGCCTTTTGAGGTTCTAGCCTAAGGTGACAAAACAACATATGCCAGATTTTCCACCCTTGGAGGGTTCCAGTTCTAGACTCCCAGCTCATCTTAGCTGCTTCTTCGGAACCAGTAGATAGTCCCAAAGACAAAAACACCTCGCAGGCTCAGCTCTACTTCCCAGGTTTCCACTTGTAGACCTCAGCCTGGCAATCCCTCGTCATCTTGTTAGCTCTTCACTGCTTTTTTTTGAGTAAACTTTGTGTTATGGAATAATTTTAGATTTACAAAAATTTCAAATATTGCACAAAAAGTCCCTGGATTCCACTGAGCCTACCAGTTCCCCCTAATGTTAACATCTTGATTAACCATGGGACATGTGTCTCAGCAAAGAAATTAACACTGGCACATTACTGTTAACTGAACTCCAAACTTGATTAGTATTTTACTAGTATTCCACTAATATCCCTTCTCTGTTCTGGGATCCCATCCAAGATAACCGCATTGTATCTAGCCTTCAATGTGGAGAAGATTTTAATGTCTAGTTCCTCCAGCTTCTGAGGGAGGATGGTCCTTATTGCTCTGCCATTCCTGCCATCTCCCTACATTTCACTGTCATTCCTAGAAATAAAAAATCCTTAAATCTGGGTCTCCCTGGGCCTAAAATTGGGGTTAGGCATAGCACTATGAAGCTATCCACAGCTACCCACATGGCACAGCAGACCTCTCCTGACTTGCCCACTGCTCCCCTCAGCAGTGTATTTCAGTCAGTCTGCCTCTTCTGCTTCCCACTGTCTCTGGTGAACCCTCTCACATACACACCCCGCACCTCTGGCCTATACCCCAGTTTTTATATGCATAAATAAATAAATCCTTTAAAAATCCTTGAAACTGTCAACAGCAACAACAACAAATCTTGAAAGAGTTTTTAGATTTGTTCCAGTGGTAGAAACTAAAGAATTGAGTCTGCAACTAGCTAGGGGCTGGGGAGCTGTAGGTGGGACAGAGTATGGGCTGTGTGTGAGGAAACAAAAAACTGCGTGGTTTAGGCCAGGCCACAGGAACAAACAAATTGCAAAATGTCAGTGGCTACAGACATAAAAATCTGTCTCAAGTCTGCTGCAGGTTGGGGGGCTGGTGGGGCAGCTCTCTTCCAGGTGGTGACCCAGGCACCCAGGATCCTTCCAGCATATGGCTCGCCTGTGTTCTCTGCTCCTGATGTTCCCTTCTACAAGGAGAGAGCCCCATTGGGATGACTCTCTGGGTCTCTCTCCATGTCTCCACTTATTTGATACAAGGCACATGTCTGCCCCTCAATCCCCTTGCCTCCTCTTTCTCTCGGATGCTGGCTCACCTGCTGACCGGTTGTGTTGTCCGATGCCACTCCACACCTGTGTGTGACAGCAAAGGCCCAGCACCACGTTGGGTAGAGGCCTGCAGTTTTCTAGCACTGACTATGACTGCACAAAGACTACCTAGTCCTGGAGTTTGGTATCAGGAAGCCTACCGTCCTATACCCCGAACCTCGTCACTGCACCTGTGTAAATACAACTCACTCTTATTTCTATAGTTGCATTTGTCATCAGAGGCAGTTGTTCTTAAGTCAGAGTAATTTGCAGCCCAGGGGAACATTTGACGATGCCTAAAGACTTCTGATTGTCATAACTGGGGAGGGGATTGGGGAGAGAGGGTGGGAATCAGGGAAGGAACTACTGGCATCTGAGGCCGGAAATGCCACTAAACATCCTACAATGCACAAGATAGCCCCATAATGAAAAATCTCTGACCCCCAAATGTGCTGATTCTGAGAACCCATCCCCCAGAGAGGAACTGGCTAAGTGGTGCCTTTCCAACTCACCCCATTTCCCCAGATTGGGTCTGCCCTGCTCACATGTCTCTTGCTCAATGCTGCCCCACAGCTGGCATTTAAGTTTCAATCTGGGTTATCCCAGCTGACTCAGAATAAACTCAGTCTCTTTGGGGAATCTCCCTGCTCCTCCCTAAGGTGGTTCTAGGTCCCAAAGCTCCTTACTTTCGGGATGAAAAGTAAGGGCAGCTTTTATCACTTCTGCGCACACCAGCATCTGCTGGATCCCCGTGGCCTCCAGTGTGACCACCCCCTTCCATGTTTCTGGTGCCCCATCCACTCATCCAAGCAATGGCCATTGCCACTCTTGGGGACACACTGTGGTCAGGATGTGGCGGGGCTGGCATGAGCACAGTGGCCCAGGAGTCTTTTCACCATACTGCTCTCCCACCCATGCTGGGGGGCAGCACCCAGTGCTCCCAAAAGCTCCCAAAAAAGGACACAATGTCCTTTCCTCTCAGCTCCCCAAACCCACAGGGGGCTCTATCTCTTGCCTCCTATAGAGGAAGGGCCCACACCAGCTTCTCACTCTAGGCCCTTCTCCTCAATTCTTATTCTACTTCCAGCTACAGAAGATCTGTTTCTAATAGAGCCTCAAGCCTAGCAGTTCAGTGTGGGACAGGGGGGAGGGAGGGGGAAAGGGGTACAGGGAAGAGCATCATGGAGGGAGCAGGGATGAAACATATTAGATCCAATACCCTCTTCATAAAAACAAAAAGTGGGGGGTAATACTTCCCTCACTATCCCCAATGACACAAATAAAATGCCCTCTCATGCACATAATTTTTAAAATTCACAATATAATGCCTGAGCTGTAATAGAAAGGAAAAAATAAAAGGAAAACAATTTGTCAGCAAATAACACATATTTCAGAATGTCAGTGCACAGCCCCGGTGAGACTAGAAAGCAGAATGATGTGCCAGAGGCCTCTTCCCACCTGTAATAAATGTTAAGATTGAAGAAAAGTGAGTGGATGGGTGAGGGGGGTGGGGGAAGCAGGACGTACGACTAAATGCTAGAATAGATATTGTTTTAATCTGTTTTTAAAACTGCAAAAACTGATTCTCTTTTGAAGTCAGTACATGTAGTGGGAGTCTTTTAAAAGGATTTTCACCAACCCAACATGAACCTGGGTCCTGGCCCATTAAATGCCAGTAGTTTACTCAAATAAAACAAACAAAACAGGGCCTCCCTGGTGGCACAAGGGGTTAAGAGGCAACCTATGAAGCGATCCGCAGCCACTGCAGCACAAGTTCCATCCCCAGCCAGGGGGCTACCCACATGGCGCAGCAGACCTCTCCTGTCTCGCCCGCTGCTCCCCTCAGCAGTGTGTTTCAGTCAGTCTGCCTGTTCTGCTCCCCGCTCCGTCTCTGGTGAGTCCTCTCACCCCTCACACACACGCCCCTCTGGCCTGTACCCCAGTTCTTGTATGCATAAATAAATAAATCTTAAAAAAAAAATCTCCCCACATTTTCTAAATCACACACCCAAGCCCGTACACATCTCCCCTCCCAGAACCGCTGAGTTCATGCTTCAAATATTAGCCTGCGAGGTGGGAAAACTTCCAGCAGGGACATATGGAAGAATATATGTCAGAATACATGTCTTCCTCAGGAAAAGGGGGAATTACAGGAAATGTTCTCGTTCCTTTTTCTTTCTTTTTTAATTTCCGTAATAAATTTTGCTTACTACCTCTACGAACTTTGCTCCTAGAAAAAGAACGGTAAAGGCCTTTGGGGGAAACAATGCGGTAGGACTCCCGCTAGTGTGTGTGTTTGTTTTGTTTCTTTCAAGGAAGATTCAAATCTGTGGGGGAGAACCAGTAATTTCGCTTTTTAACCGGCAAGACAATTCAGCGCGCACGGGGACCAGCTTCGCAGCACCGCCCCCTGGCGGCCGGGCTCAGCCGGGACCTGCGGCTTCGCTCGCCCGCGCCTGCGCCGCCGCCCCGTGGCCAAAGGCGGTATTGCGCCCTTCAGAGGCGGTGCGGGGAGAGAAGCAGCGACCCCAGGCTCCAGGGTCCTGGCCTTGGTACCACTGACCACATGGCTGTCTAGTGACCCTATGGACTTCCTCTCCGAATAATGCGTTTTTAAATATATAAAATACACACACTTAAAAGGAAACCGATGATATTGAAATTGTTAAAATATTTATAATTGTATAACATTTATAATTGTATAATTGTATAACAAATATTTATAATTGTATAATTGTATAATAAATGTGCTTTTTTAAAAAAAGATTTATTTATTTATGCATACAAGAACTGGGGCACAGGCCAGAGGTGTGGAGGGTGAGAGGATTCACCAGAGACAGAGCAGGGAAGAGAAAAGGCAGTTTGACTGAAATACACTGCTGAGGGGAGCAGCGGGCCAGTCAGGAGAGGTCTGCTGTGCCATGGGGATAGCTCCCTGGCTGGGGATGGAACTCGTGCTGCAGTGGCTGCAGATAGCCTCATAGGTTGCCTCTTAACCCCTTGTGCCATCAGGCAGGCCCTAAATGTCCTTCTTTAATGGCATTTTAAATAACCAGGTCTAGAGCCACATCTAATAAGTAATGATTTCCCAAGCAGTGAGGCTCATAGAAGATATTTCCAGCTATCAGTGACTATTTGAAGTGCTCGTGTCTGATTTTTATCGGTGACAAAGTCACAGATGCTCCTACCACTCATGATCGAAGGGAAAGATCAATATTACTTAAAGGCTAGAGAAAGTCAATGTAATTTTTTCCCATCCCAGTGCATGGGCTCCCAGGATTCCACACACAGACACCCTGGAGGGCGTGGCCCTGAAGATGCATCAGACCCCCTGGGAGGGGCACCCAGCTGGGCTTGGCTCCCCACACTAAGGAAGGAGAATGGCAGAGGCGCTTGCAGGGCTGGAAGTTCACAGGAGTGACCAAGGCCCCTCCCCGCCCTTCCTCGTCCAGATCTCCCCCTTCTGGAGGAAGTTAAAGCCTGAGTGGCCCAAGAAGCGCTCCCAGCTCCTGGTGTGCTCCATAGCGCAGGGCCCACCATGCGACCTCTCGTCCTCCTGTGCAGCTGCCTGGTCCTCCCAGGTGAGATGGGGGTGGTGGGGAGAGAGGGGGCTCCTGTCCAAGTTCGCCCTTTGGGTCTGCAGAAACAGGACCTTCTGAACCAGCACTTCCCTTCCCCGGTGCTGTGGCTGCCGCTTGAGAGAAGCTGGTTCTTCTCCACCCTCCTCAGCCTCTGCCTCCTCAGCCCTCAGAGGCACAAGCTGTTTCTGTAACCCCATGTCAGATTTTCTTCCCGAATTGTGGGATCCAACCCTTCATGGCTGTGAGAGGAGCTTTATCTCTCTCACCTTCATTTCCCTCCTCTGGGCCAAGCCTGGAGGCAGATGAGGCACCCCATGTACACTTGACACAAACTCAGCAAATATTTCTTGAGCCTCTGCTCTACCACTCACAACAACCCATGGGATAAAGAATTACCTCCATTCATCAATTCACTGGGCTGCCTTTATATTATTTACCATTTACCATCAATGTAGCATTTTAATTCAATGAAATAGGACATAATCATCATCTCTAGATGAGCAAACTCAAACCAGAAAGGTCAAGCAACTGCCCCAAGGTCACACAGCTACTAAGAGGCAGTGCTGGGATTCAGACTCTGGGTTGTCTGAATCAAGAGCTTCCTCACCACCACTCATCAATACGTCAAGTTAGGGAAACAGCAAGGTAGGGGCAGGGGAGTGGAGAATCAACTTTTCTTTTAAGATTTATTTATTTATGCATACAAGAACTGGGGTATAGGCCAGAGGTGTGGGGGGTTGAGAGGATTCACCAGAGACACAGTGGGGAGCAGAATAGGCAGATCCACTGAAAGACACTGCTGAGGGGAGCAGCGGGCGAGTCAGGAGAGGTCTGCTGCGCCATGGGGGTAGCTCCCTGGCTGGGGATCAAACTCGTGCTGCAGTGGCCGCAGCTAGCCACATAGGTTGCATCTTAACCCCTTGCACCACCAGGGACCAGGGAAGCCCTCAAGTCTTTTTTTCCCCACCCCAATCAAGTACTAACTCTTACAGAGGCCACCCCCAGAGGGTGGTGACTAAGGAAAGTCTTCTGTCTTGACCCTGGCACTTGAATCCAGGGAGTTCAGACCTCTACCCCTGCTGTGGTTTCAGGTTATGGAGACCTCGTGGGCCCGAAGGAGATCAGTGGATTTGAGGGTGACACTGTGTCGCTGTATTGCACCTACGGGTATGAGCTGCAGCCATACTTCAAGTACTGGTGTCGGGAGAAGGGACTCATTATCTCCCGCTGCTCTGACATCATCTACGCAGAGGAAGATGGCCAGGAGACGACGAGGGGCAGGGTGTCCATCCAGAATGACCCCTACCAGCGCAAGTTCAAGGTGACCCTGAGGAAACTCACCCTGCAGGACGCTGGGGGGTACATGTGCGGGGTCAGCAGACTGGGCTTGGACACAATTTTCCGGGTCTCGCTGAAAGTTTTCCCAGGTAACACACATCTCTCCTTCCTGGCTGGGGCTGTTGGTGAGGAGGGGATGAAGGAGGGGCGGGCAGGTGGTCAGCGTGGACGCAGTTTCCCTGTCATGAGGGGGGTGGCGCTTGTACCAACCTCTCAGGGCATCTGGGGGACCCAGGGAAAGGTCACAGGCCCAGTGCCTAGCAGCATTGGGGGCACAGGTGCCACCCAAGTCCCACTAAGTGTGGCCCCACGATCGCTGCTTCTAGGCCCACTGCGAGGCATCATAGCCACACCGGTTCACCGTGCTCACAGCTCAGCTCTCCTCACTCCCCTTCCCAGACCTTGAAGTACAAGGACTGTGTTGGGAGTGGCTAGGAACCAGCCTCGGGACTTGTTGAGCTGGGGGACAATAGGGACTGGGGCGGGAGCACCTCTCCTGGGGTCCAGAACCCCACCTGGACCTGTTGGACTGAGGAGCAAGAAGCCAGAGGGCCGAGGGGTGGGCAGCCCCAGCCTGCCCACCAGTGAGGGTGAATGGGTCTTGCACCCATTTCACAGATGGGCACTGAGGCTCTGAGAGCCAAGATGGCTCTCGATGAGAGACCCAAGATCTCCCAACAGAAAGTGGGGAGACAGGATTCAAAAACGCAGGTTGTTTCTGACTTTGGTGTCTGTCCTTTGCCTCTCCTGGCTCAGCTGGGACCCATCCCGTCCCCAGAACTTTCTCCACCAGCCACCACATCCGCATCATCCACGGGCCTTTGTTTTAATTCAAGGAAATAAAGATAAACTCATTGAATATTAACATCAAAAACACATTGAACCTGTTCTCCATAATTTATAAAATTTTCTACCATTCTGATTTTTATCAGTATTCAAGTATCATTTTTACCTGGTGGGAATCAATTTTAACCTATATTTGAGGCACTCCTATTTTGATTCTTGCCTCCATGTATAATTATGCATAATTAGTTATAGTAAAGTTTGGCATATCCATCAGTACAGTTTCCTCCTGTATCAGGCCTTCACCTCTCTCTGCTGGCTGTTGGAGTGTTAAAAAAAAATAAAGACTGATGACAAGGGCGGGCTGGGCACAGCTGCCGGGAGGAGCTGTGGTCTGAGGTGTCGCCAGCCTCTTTGGTATCAACGGTCCTGCCATGGCCAATTTCTAGCCACCAACAGTTGAACAACTGGCTCACAAAATTCCAGAAAAGTTAACCATCAGTCCTTTCAAGCCAACCCACAGTTGAGTATGGCGAAACATTGTCTGGAGGCCCCAGGCAATGAAATATGACAAGATGGAACATAAATATTGGAAAGGAAAAGATAAATACTCTTTATTTGCAGGAGAGTTGATTGTTGACTCAAAAGAATCAGAATAAAACTGACCTAGTATAGAATAGAGGCTGGGAGGAAAAGGCGAAGTCAGAAGAGGCAGCTGATGGATGTCCGCTGGGGAGTCCTGGCCACCCCAGGTTGCTGCCCACTGTGTGGGTGCAGAAGATAGGCGTTGTGCCTTTGATGGGGTCCAGCTTAGCAGAGAGACCCAGCCAATAGCTCTGCCAGTCTGCGCAGAGGCACTGTGGGAACACAACAGGGGGACTTGCCCCTTCCAGGCAAGGTGCTGTGGAGGCAGTGACTCTTGAGCGGGTACTGAACAACAGAAAGAAGTGTATAAGCAGAGCTGGAAAGGAAAGCACAGCACACAGAGGAACAGCATGGCAAAGGAAGCAGGCAGGAGGCTCGCTGAATTGGGATTAGAAAGCAACTCTGTGTGGCTGGTGCCCCAGGTGGGGAAGAGGTAAGGCTGCCAAGGTGAGTGGAAGTCCAAGTTGAAAAGGCCTGGAGGGCCTCCCCTGGTGGCGCAGCAGCGGTTGAGCCGCTGGGCTGCAGAGGCTGCCCGCACAGTGCCAGTTCACTCCCCACATGGCGCAGCAGACCTCTCCTGCCCGCCCGCTACTGCCCTCAGCAGTGAATTTCATCACTCTGCCTGTTCTGTTCCCCGCTCTGGCTCTGGTGAATTCTCTCACCCTCCCGTGCTTCTGACTGTACCCAGTGCTTGTATAAATGAATATATAAATCTTTTAAAGGCCTGGAAACACACTGAAATTTTGAAATTCTGGTTATGGGCAATGAGGAGCCATTGATTATTCGGAAGCAGGGAATAGTGGGGTCCAGTCTATTTGGAGGAATGGGATCCAGTCACGCTGCACAGCTGCAGGGAAAGGGAACCTGAAGAGAGAGACCAAGGGACTTCAGGAAGGGAAGACCAGTTACCAGCTGGAATTTTCCATCCAGCTTGAATGGCTGAGGGGAGAAGACAGTTAGCTCTGAGCTGAAGTGGGGAGTGCTCCCTCCTCAGATGCTGGTGCTCCCAGGCAGGAAATTTAGCTGTGAGCAGATCCTGGCCTCCTCTGAGACCAGCCTCTCCCTTTCCTCTAGGTCCCTGCTGTTCTCGCTCCCCCATTCCCTCCTTCCAGCCTCCTACTACAAGGAGCCTCCAGCCCAAGGCAAAGGCTTGGCAAACTCAGCCCCCAGAATTGAGTAAGTGAATGGGTTTTCTCCTCCTCCCACTCCTTCTTAGAGAAAGATCCAGCAAGTGCCTGCCTGGTGCCAGACACTGTGCTTTATGTGCCCCTCAGCCTGGGAGCTGGACTGTTAGTGAGAAATTAGCGGCTCAGTGGCATTGGGTCCCACTTGAGGTCATACAGGATGCAGCAGAACGAGGCAGTAGCCACAGCAAACCTTGTGTTGAGTCTGTTCCACCGGATCTGAGGGGTGAGCAGGAAAGTCTGGGCCTTGGGCCCTGACCCCTAGCCCTGTCCTTCCACCCTGCCCTGCCACCCCTGTGGCTACTGAAGGTCAAGACTTCACTGAGTCACAGACAGTGGGCTGGGCCTGTGACAGGGACCTTCTGGTGAGGACAAAGGTGACACAGGCCAGGACTTTAGGAGGAGGGCAGGAGGCAATACCGAGTGGTCCCTGGAATGGCCCACAGAGGTGGGGGCGTGGGTGGAGCTGCAGGCAGAGAAAACAGGCTTCCAGTACCCAAAGTGAGGGCCAAGCCTGACAGGTGGCCTGCTGGCCCAGAGTGGCTTCATCTAGGTGTCTGTTTGACCTCTGGGGTGTCTTTTAGCTGCGATGTTCTGAGATGTTGACCCTGAGGAGACAGGGTTCAGGGTCAAAGGTCAGAGGCTTGACCCAGGCCTGGGGCTGCTGAGACTGAAGGGTCAGGGAAGGTGCTGAGGCATTGCTTTTGGACTTGTAGCTCCTCCTCGTCTCCACCGGACAGTCACCACAGCCAAGCGGGGGACGACGGGGGCCAAGGCCTTTCCGTTCACAAGGCCCCCCCTGCGTGACCACCGAGGAACCTCCCGGTACACAGGAACCTCTCCGTATGCGGGGACCGCTCCTCACACAGGGACCTCTCCCCCTGCAGGGACGTCCCACCTGTTCACACAACTGGACTCCACCTCAGCAGAGGACACCAGTCTGGTCCCCAGGAGCAGCAGCTCCAAGTCCAGGTGAGCCCCAGGGACCGAGGTCCCCTTTCAGGTCACCACTAAACTACAAGGTGCCTTTGAGCAAACAGAAACGTCACGCTCCTTCCTCTTGCCACGGCCTCTTGTCATGCCGCTGATACCTGGTCACAGCCCCTGGCTCCTTCTGTCCTCCCTGCAGGGTGGCCATCCCGATGGTCCGCATCTTGGCCCCGGTCCTGGTCCTGCTGACCCTTCTGCTGGCTGCAGGCCTGGCCGCCTTTGGCCGCAGCCTGCTCCGGTGGAGGAAGGAAGGTGAGCAAAGATGGGGGGGGCACTCTCAGCCAGAGGCTTCACTGAGACCTGCAGTTCCCATCCACGCCCCTCCCGGGGCCCCAGAGAGACTTTGTGGGTCTCTCTGAGATGTGGGTATCAAGAGTCTGCTTCTCCCTTCTGAGGGAACCACAGGAGGTCAGCATTAGGAAAAAGTACTTCAAATGGGGGAGTGGGAGAAGAGGGGTACGCATCTTGCTCACATCTGCCTGCCCTTGTCAGTCACCTGCCTCCCTACCCATCCTGGAGAAGTCACGTCCACCCTCTGCAGGCCAGCTCCCTACACGAGGGCTGACTTTGGGGGGGGATGGGCAGGACTGCGTATTTGAGCTGGAGAAGGATGAACCTGATGGCCCCACACTGGCCACTGGATTTCCAGAGATGCTCAGCCCCTTTCAACACTTGGGTTCTATCCCAGCTCACCACATTTTAGCTGTGTGACCTTGGGCAAGTCACCTAAATTCCCTGAGCCTCAGCTTCCTCAGAAATACACCCAGCAGAAACAGAATACAAGCCAAATGTGCCATTTGAATGTCTCCAGTAGACCATGGAAAAAAAATTTTTAAAATCTAGTTAATTCTAATAATAAATCTTGTCACACAATACCTAAAACATGATCATTTCAATGTGGAATCAATACAAAAACATTCATCATACATAATCTACATTTATTTTTTCATATTGAGTCTTCAAGACCTGGTGTACTCCAGAGTAGCCACGTTTCTGGGACTCAGTGGCCCTGCGGGGCTGTGCATGGAAGACACAGGTCTAGAGGCTTCGCTGAAGTAACAGTAACGGGGCCACCACGGCCAGGCACTGTTGTGTGGCTTATGCTGTTTTTATCTCCTTTCATCTCCTCAAAACTGTGGAGTTAGGAACCAATTATTACAAGTGCCCCCATTTTCCAGGAGAAGAAACTCAGAGTGATTAAGCAGCTTGCCCGAGTTTGCACAGCTCAAAGGCGGTGGCACCTGGGAGACAGCGCTTTGCAAACCAGCACTGCTGTGGTTGTGGACACCACAGCTTTGCATGTGTCCCCAGGGCCCCTCAGGAGAGTGGGGAGGAGCACACAGCCTGGGAACACACCTGGTCACATCCTCTTGGCATCTCATTTGTCAAACAGTGGTCCCCAGCTAGCAGCATGGTGTCCCCTGGGATTCTTAGGCCCCAACTCAACCTACTGATAGAATCTGCATTTTAGCACAATTTCCTGGAGTCCTCAGTGCACATCAAGTCTTCAGGAGCAATGATATTAGCACACAGAATTGCTTCCCCAGCTGGTTTCTGGCCTACACAAGGGATTTCTATGTACTGACCTCAGAAGACTGTGTCATTGTCAAGGGCTAGATGGGGTTCCTCTGCCCAACCTCCCTGCCAGTCCCCTCTGGGAAGCCCTGCTCCAGGTGCAGGGGGCCAGCCCACCCCGGGAACAGCTGCAGGCCACTCCTGGCTGCCCTCCGCTCTAAGGTGCCTCTGCTGGTCTCTTTCAGCTCAACTGGCCAACGGGACACAGGAGAACGAGAAGGTTCACCCTTCACACTTGGTAAGAAAGGAGGTGGGGGGCGCCCACGTCTGGATTCCTAGGGGGCCAAAAATTAGGGCTCTGAGGCCCCACCTCTGCATGGCCCCACCTGACCCATCTCCACGGTGACCGTTAGACAGGACTGGCCTCCCTCCTCTGGGGGGTCTGTGCCATCCCTGAAACCAACACTTTGGGGTACAATCTGCACCCTGATTTCCCCCCAGGTGCCAGGCAGGGGTTCTCCCCGGCCCAGCACTCTGTTTCCATCAGAGAACACCAGGTCTGGGTCCAGTGGGAACTTTGAGATCACCTAGTCCAGGCTTTCCCTAAGTTTGGGGCAAACTCCCTCTCAGAACACCCGAAGGTTTGCAGGGACTGTCAGATTTAATGCCAGTCCCAACTGAAACTCTAGTGTGAAGCCCAGGAAACTAAATGTTGAACTCTGCCCCTGCGGATTCTGACGCACCCCAAGTTTGACAACCACAGATTCTAGTCCGCTTTGGCAGAAAAGGAGACGGAGCCCAGCGGAGCCCAGCGAGTGTGGCCACACAGCAGGTGGTGGCCCAAATAGAGACAGATCCCAGATTTCTCACCTGCGATCTGCCACCTCTCCTCTTTCCAGAACACCCTGACCATTTCCCTGACCTTTCCTTGGCTCTGAGCCCAAGGAGATGTGGCTGCCTGAGACCCAGGCGGAGGCTGGTGCCCCGGGAACAGGGGGCTGAGGAAGCAGGGTTTCCCTGGCCCACCTTCCTGGAGAGGGGAGTCTGTGTAGAACAACAGGGTCCTTCCCTGCCCCCTGCAGATGGACGGTCCCTTCCCCCCCACACTCCCCAGCACAGGAAACAGAAACCCCACCTGCCTCAGCCCACCCTCCCTCCCCACTGTCCTCCCTCAGCCTCAGCCATTTTCAGAGATGCCTCCATTCTGGTTCCTTTAAAAGTGGGGCAGGAAAGGGGGGATACCATCACCTTTCCTGGCGCCAGTGAGGACAAAAGACTCGATCTGAGGCCCCTAGGGAGGGCCTGGGTGGGAATGGGGTACTGGGCCTTCACAAGGAAGCAGCTGTTGTTGTCTCAGGAAGCTCAACAAGGCCAAAGGTGGGGGACAGGAGTAAGGGAAAGGTTACCCGGATGGGGTTGCTGCCAGGCCACTTCAGAGCCTGGCCTTCTGCTGTGCCTGCTGGCTCCTGGGGCACAACCCACCCCAAGCCCAGAAGGGGGCCGGGGTAGAAGGGGGCCTCTGTTGCACCCAGAGGGTCTGTCCCAGCTCATCTCTTTTTTTTCTTTTTAAGATTTATTTTTATTTATTTATGCATGTAAGAGTTGGGGTGTAGGTCAGAGGTGTGGGGGTGAGAAGATTCACCAGAGACAGATTGGGGAGCAGAACACAAGTTGGGGTGTAGGCCAGAGATGCAGGGGTGAGAAGATTCACCAGAGACAGAGTGGGGAGCAGAACAGGGGGATCCACTGAAATACACTGCTGAGGGGAGCAGCAGGCAAGACAGGGGAGGTCTGCTGCGCCATGTGGCCAGCTCCCTGGCTGGGGATCCAACTTGAACTGGAGCTGCAGTGGCTGGTGATAGCTTAAGACTTTAACCCCTGAGCCACCAGGCAGGCCCCCAGCTCATCTCTTTACAGGCCTCTCCCAGAGCTGCTATACCCAGCCCAGAGGGGGCACAGGGAGGCCTCGCTGGAGAAGGGTCTCCCAGGAATGCTGTGAGTTTTTGCTTTGCTTTAGTTGTATTTCCTTTCTGGTTTCTCTCTAGTTTTTAGCAGAGTCTGGAGGTGGAATTGAAAGGATTTGGGGTTTTCTTTGCCCACATGCAGGTCAGAGAGGGAAGGGATACTCTACCTGCCAGAGAGCCCAGGGGATAGAACATCTCAGAGGTCAGATCAGCTCTTGCCAGGCGCTCCCCATACACAGGCCACATGGCCTGGAAATGTGATAAGCAACGAGGTAGCTGAGCGACAGAGAGAGGCTCACATGACTTTCATTCCAGTCTGTGGTTATAAGTGTCCTATTTTATTGTTAGTCATTGTTAATCTCTTATTGTGCCTCCTTGATAAAAGAAGCTTTAACACAGGTGAGTAATATAAGAAACAGAGTAGAAACAGAGCTTGGTACTATCTGTGATTTCAGGCATCCTTTGGGGATCTTGGAACATACTCCCCAACCTCAGAAAAGGGGGACACTACTGTACTCTTTTCTTGAACATCTGCTATGTGCTTTCTTTTTTTGTTTAAGATTTATTTATGCATACAAGAACTGGGGTACAGGCCAGAGGTGCAGGGGATCAGAGGATTCACCAGAGACAGAGAGGGGAACAGAACAGGCGGATCCACTGAAATGCACTGCTGAGGGGAGCAGCGGGCAAGAACCTCGCCATGTGGGCTTCTCCCTGGCCGGTGCCTCACAGTGCTGTGCTTAACCCCTTGAGCCACCAGGGAGGCCCTGCTATGTGCTTTCTATAGGTCACTGAATCGTGGTAGCTCCTGCAGGATATAGGTGTTATTATTCCCTCTTCTTACAGAATAAGTAATAGAGGCTCAGAGGAGATAAGTAATTTGCCCAAGTGACCTGGCCTGAAAGAGGCAGAACTGGGGAAACTAAGTGAGGGCTGGGGGCTGTCTGCAAGACCTCCCTTTACCCACCCCTCTACCTGGAAGAACAAGGGGTTTGAGGAGTGGAGCCAAGACTCTCCCCCAGACTCAGGAGAAAGAACCAGGCCTGGCCCTGATCGTGGGCCCTCGGTGGCCCCAAATCCTTGAATAACCTAAGTGGGAGTGCAGGGTTTTACCTACTTTGTTGCTGCTCTCTTTCTAGTGCCTAGAAACAGAGGGTCACACATGTATCGTCTACATTCAACAACCCAGAGAAATGCCTCCCCTCTACCTGGAACAAGCCAATGTCCCCAGAGTGGACAAAGTGTAGGATGGAGACCCACACAGGATGCAAGGGCGAGGTCGTGGCTGCTGCCTGCATGTGTGGTTTAGTGTCTCTGCCACATGAGGGTTTTTCCTCAAATTCATTCACCCCTGAGAGATACTTCTGGAACTGCTGGTGGTCAGGGGTCAGCTGTGGCTGGGTTATGACTGAATCCCAAAACTGTGTATGGATCCGTGGGGACGTATCTGAGGTCAGGAGTCCTCTGACCCAGCCCCAGCTCTGCCTTGTCCTCACTGTGGGCAGGTGGGGCTGGGAGGGACCAGGGCCCTGAATTACATCTCCCTCCCCCGCTCCCCTGTGCCCTCATCTCCCTGCCCCCCAACCCCCAGGCACATCCAACCTGAGGCATCTCCTTCTGAGTCCGACATTCCCTAAGGTGAAGAGGACACCAAAGTTGGCTCATGCACTCTGCCCCATGCCTGCCCCTGGGTAGACACAGACATGGATAGATAAGAGGCAGATGTCTTGCCCGGATGCCATGTGGAGGAAGAGACTGGGTCTGAGGTCAAAACGTCAAGAGTGCAAGTCCCAGCTCAGATAGGTGCAGCTGTGTGACACCTGGCCAGTGTCCGCACCTCTCTGAGCCTCAGCTCTCCCCTCTCACTGCATGTGCTTAGAACAGGTTGATAAGACACCCTATAGGTGTCTGGAATTTGGGGGCTGCTATTTTTTTGTTTCAGCATCTGGCAGGTCAAGGCCCTCAGGGCAGCTGTGTCCTTGGGAGACTTACTGGGGCCTCACCCTCCAACCTCTGCTCTGCCCCAGCCCGGGACAAGGGAACAGGAGATGGGGGAGGGGGAGCCTGACTGAGAACCTGTGGGGGCAGCAAGGCCCTGATAAGGAGCTGCGCTTCTCCACTCGCCCTGGATTCTCTGCTTCTCTTCCCTGGCCTCGGTTTCCTCATTCGATTAAGGAGGCCTTGCTTGGTCTCCTGATCTCTTAAGAATTTTTCCTGTGCTATTGTTATTCAGTTAACTTTGCTCACACTGGGCCTTTTACAAAGAAACTGAAGGCTGCACATTCTTCCTGCCTAAAGGTTAGAAATAATAATAATAATAATAACAACAACAACAACAGCAACAGCTCCTTATTGTTGAGTAATAAAACATTGTCACGAATATTTGTTTTTGTCCAAAGGGTAACATTCTTAGCTCCATTTTACAGCTGAGGAACCTGAGCCTCTGAGGGGCTGGGTTAATTGCCCAAGGTCACATGAGACATAGGACATTGGACCTAAGGCCTCTGACTCTGGAGCCATGTTCTTCCCCTTGCCCCCCACCCCACCACCTTCCCTTGCTGCCCCACCCCTGCATGCCCCTCCTCCTCAGGGCTCAGGGCTGTCCCTGCTGCCAAGAACAGGCTGTTCTGAAAGTCTGCATTTCAGGAGCTGGGGAACAGCTGGGTCTCAGAGTACGCTGTGATCAACTTCTCCGGACCCACTGAGCCTGGCACGAGCCCCAAGCTCTCCCCCTGCCCCAACACGGAGATCCTGCGCCTCAACCAGGTGTGGACAGAGGGTCCTGGGGCTCTGCAGCCACCTAGTCTGGCTCCACTATGACAATTACGGGAAGTTGGGGGGGTGGGCATCTCCCCTCCGCATCCACCCACTTACCCCATCAACCAAAGCTCAGGCCATTTCACCCCAGAGGCAAAGTTCTTGACCTCATATCCTCTTTTTCCTGATCCAGAAAATTCTTGAATGGCTAGTTGGGAGTTACAGCTAAATGAGCTCTGGGCTGGCAGGAGTCCCACATCTGCCGCCAGAAGGGGCCTAAGGCCCTGAGGATGCATCCCAGGGGTTGGGGAAGGGCGTGGCAGAGTGGAGAGGGCGTGCCTCAAGCCTGGTGTTCTGGGTAAGAGTTGCTAGTCCAGGCCCCTAGGAAGGACAGAGGGGCTGTGGAAAAGGGTGGGGTGGACCAGCAACTACCCAGAGACACCCCAACTCAAGCTGGCTCTGCTTTTCAGCACCATCTCCCTTGTTGTCATTACAGGCTTCAAAAGAAGATGAAGACTCTTTGCCGGACCCAGAGGGGGACATGATCCAGGAGCCTCCCCTGCACCTGTCCCGGGAACAGCTGGGCTTTGTCCCAGTCTAGCCACCGCACCCTCCAGGCTGCTGGGAGTCTGAGTGGCTGGATTTGCTGGGTTCCAGTGAGCTTTCTGCAACAGCTTGAGGTCGCCCACCAGACTCCGGGGCTCTCCCCTCCCTCCCCAGCTCTCCTCCTGCAGGCCATCTGACCTGGAAGCCTTTGTCAGCCCCGGAGCCTGGAGTGGTGGCCTCACAGTTCCAGGAGGAGACTGAGACCCCCCAACATGTTCATTTCCCTGAGCAATGTGTGCAGCCTGTGGACCCCCCCATTGGGGCCAGATGGGACTGGGGGGGGATGTGCTCTGAGTTTGTATCTACCAGAGGAACGCTCCTGAGCCCAGGGGCCCACAAAGTCCCTTCCTCCTCCCCTTCCAGACCTCACCTTCTCCGCCTCATCTCAAACGCTCCATAAGCTGGTGAGGAGAGAGCCTGCTGGATTAGAGGGGTTCTGACTTCAAAGCGGGGCTGGGAACAACCCCCCTCCCATTCCTCTGGGAAGCTGGTTTAAAATGTGGTTCCTAGGCCCCACCAAGATCTGCCAAAACCATCCTTGGGGCTGGGCCCAGGACTCTGCATTTCTAACAAGTCCCTGGTCATTGTAAAACTCAAGGCTGAGAACAAGTGGGCCTGTGGACTCTCAGGTCCTCCAGCTCAGAGAGTCTGTACTTGGTGTGTGGGGTCTCTCCCCGTCAGAGGTGCCCATGACCCAGCTAGGGTCTTCCTGGGGTCACCTGAAGTCAAGTGCATACTGGACTGGGGGAGCCCGGGACTGGCAGGAGCCTTGCCTTTCTGACACCCCTTCCTAGCCAAGCACACCAGGTTTTGAAAGGAGGACGGAGAACTTGGCTCCTTCCTTGTCCAGAAAGGGTTAATTGCCTGTGGGCTTTGGCAAATAGAGAGAGTAAAATTGGACATCTAAGGGAGGAGGGGGGACAGGACAGGAACCAAAGGGGAACCTGAAGGTGACCCTGAGTTTGGCCTTCAGGATGGGAGTGAGGGAGAGTAACAGAACCACAATTTTTTCTTTTCCAATTGTTTTTTTTGAAAAATGAATTGGGGGAGGGGCTTGCTCCACACCCACACTTTAGAATGATGGAGGAGGGGAAAAGCAAACCCCCATCGTCTCCCCACTAAGCAAAGACAACCAAGATGACATTTCATTTTGTTTAGTCTTTTTTCCTCAACATCACCTTCCAAGTTATTTTGTATATGCAACTTCATAGCTTACTCTCCTATCTGATTACTGAATCATAAGCAGTCGTGTGTTCACAGAATGTTCTCACCAGCCTTTTGTAAATACAATGTTTATCAGCTACATAGTATTTCATCTTACAGTGTTTTTCAACTGCTTTCAGTTCCCTCTCAATAGATAGTAAATGTGTTTCTCTGTTTGCTCTTCTAAATGGCACTATGGTGAGTCTGGCACCAGTCCTTAGCTGTGCTGGGAGTTTTCTGCAAGAATCTGCAGATGTGGGGGCCTCCCTGGTGCCACAAGGGGTTAGGTCTCAGCACTACGAAGCTATCTGCAGCCGCTGCAGCATGAGTTCAACACCCGGCCAGGGAGCTACCCACATGGCACAGCAGACCTCTCCTGTCTCGCCCACTGCTCCCCTCAGCATTGTATTTCAGTCAGTCTGCCTGTTCTGTTCCCTATTCTGTATCTGGGGAATCTTCTCACCCCCTCACCTCTGGCCTGTACCCCAGTTCTTGTATGCATAAATAAATCTTTTTTTTTAAAAAAAAAAAAGTTCCCTTCAGCTTTTGCATGCATAAATTTTTTTAAAAAAGAGTTCCCTTCCCAAGTCCAGCAACACAATAAAAATTGTTTCTCATGGGATCTAATTGTTTAAAGGCACACGGAACCTTGCACACCACTCTCCTGGGTTAGAAATTCATTTCCCATTTTCCAGGCACCACATTAGTCCTTTAGATTTTTGTGTGACTCTAGGCAAAGGAGGACACCCCCAAATCAGAACGGAGATTCTACTTCTTTCCACTCTGATGAGCTGGAACCCAGGGAAAGATTTAATTCAAGTTAGAGACAGAATAGGGTATTTCATATACCAGCATGTAACGGAATAAAACCACCACCATAACCACCACAAGAGAATCATGATCACCCTTACAATTAAATGCATTTGGCTAACTGGCACACTTTCTGCATTGTTCCTAATCTCCTATTGCCACTGACAAAATGGTCCACAGACCAACACGACGTAGGCACCGCTACCACCCACTATAAGCGCAAGTGATGGGGAACTCCTGGGAGGAGAAAATATGCTTCATTTTTATTTGTGAAATTACCACCAATTGGCACGGGGCAGAGACTTGCAAAAATGAAATGAGAGGGAACCCAAATATAAACCATACCCAGATGCCGTGTGCACGTGGGGGGTCACAGGTGCAAGCTCACGCTCACCGGGCACCCCTCAGAGCACTGAAGCTCCAGGGTGGTCTTTTTCCAGGACATTCAGCTGCTCTCATGAGCTGGATTCCTGCCACCTGGGCCGAGTCCTTCGTCAAGAGACTCAGCTAGAGTTCCTCTAACCATCAGCCCCACCTCCTGGCCACTCACCACAGCATGTCCCTCAGGCTCAGTCTCACTTTCAGGATTTTTTCTCCTTGAAACCCATGATCATGTGACTAGCATAAAATAATTTTCTGATTCACTCATGATGGTAGCCCTGAAATGGCTAGCCATCTGTTACTTCTTCATAATCACTGAAATGAAATATCCCTCTAGCCAATGGGACCCATTGCAGCTCTGGGGGTGTAGCTAGGGGTGTGTGCATGTGTGCATGTGTGCGTGTGTGTTAAAGCAACTCCATCTACTACCACCAGCCTTGCCCCACACCTGGGCACACACATTCATCTAGAATTGTGTAGTAGACTAAGAAATGCAACATAAATACCAAAATGCCAACTTGTTTCCAATGTGCACAAGCAATCATTCACTCCCACAGCGAATGTTACCTTATTTCCAGAATTTGCTCCATCAGCACCACTTGAAAGTGCTTTTTGATGCCTCACAGGTAGAGCGGAGATTGGCTTCTCTGTGCTCCAGTGACAGCCTCTGATTACAGGGTGCTGGCCCCAGCTGCCTCCTATCTGCCCCGTTTGGCCTCTGATGCAGGGACTAAGTCTTATTCAAAGGTGTCCACTATGGGCCTCCCTGGTGGCTCAGGGGTTAAAGTCTCAGCGCTATGAAGCTATCTTTAGCCACTGCAGCATGAGTTCGATCCTAGCCAGGGAGCTAACCCACCTGTTCTGCTCCCCACTCTTTATCTTTGGTGAATCCTCTCTCTCACACACACACCTACACCCCAGTTTTTGCATAAATAAAAGTAAATTAAAAAAAAAAACAAAGGTGTTCAGTAAATAGTCTTTGAGTAAATACTTAAGGCTTTATCTACTCCATAACTCTGCAAGGAACTGAATAGTTAGAATATAAAACAGGGAAAAAGGACCCTTTTGGCAAGCATAACCCCAGTACAAAATACTCAACAAAATAAGGGGCACCTGTGTGAGAAACCCTCCAGCTCCTGTGTGGGGGAGGTGAGCGCTGCCGTCACATAGGCAGGGCCTGGCTCTCTTGAAGAGCTGAAACCTGGGGTGGTAAGGCAGCCCACATTCCCCTCCTCACCTCCTCCTCCTCCTCCTCCTCGTGTTCCTCCTTCAACACTGCCTTTCTCCCCAAAGGTACCGCCACCCACATTTCTAGTCAATGCCCCTCTCTCTTGGAGGCAGTATGTGGGGGGAGCCTGCTGGGAGCCAGGAGTCTGAGGCTCTGGTCCCAGCTCTGCCCAGGACTTCCTGGGTGGCACTGCATGAAGACTTTGCCCCATTAAGCATTTTTTCCAGCTGTGACATCTTTAGCAACCATGCTTCGCTAGTAACCACAGGCTTCTGGGCCAAGGGAAGAGGGATTTAAAAAGAAAACTGGTAGCAGAATTCCTTTTAGGAAGTCAACTTTATTTAGGAAGTCAACTATATTTAGGAAAACAGCCTGACGCTAATTTGGGGCTAAAAGGAGAATTTCCCACCCTAAGGGCATGGCCAAAATAGACACACAGCAGTTGGCAAACTTGGTTAAATGTCAGACTCACCTGGAGAAACTTGAAAACATATACCTTCCCAGGTGCCACCCCAGCCTGGCAGAGGGCGCAGATCCCCGGTTCCTCTCCCTGAGCACCAAGCTCCCAGAGCACCAAGCGAGACTACATTTCCCAGACTCCCTGGAGGAAACCCACAATCACGGCACCATTTCCTGCACTTTTTCTCTCTCATGACACCTGTGAAATCCACTCATTGAAGACCATGGTGTCACCTGATAAAGAGGCTGGATCCCTGGGTCACTGCTAGGGCTGCCACCCAAGCCCCACGAGATGATGTGGGGAAGAAATGAGTAATAGGGGCCTCCCTGGTGTGCAAGGGGTTAAGTCTCAGCACTATGAAGCTATCAGCAGCCACTGCAGCCCGAGTTCCATCCCCGGATAGGGAGCTACCCACATGGCACAGCAGACCTCTTGGGTCTTGCCTGCTGCTCCCCTCAGCAATGTTTTATCAGTGGATCCACCTGTTCTGTTCCCCACTCTGTCTCTGGTGAATCCTCTCAACTCCCCTGCACCTCTGGCCTACACCCCAGCTTTTGTATGCATAAATAAAATAAATCTTAAAAAAAAGAGAAAGAAATGATTAATAAAGAAAGGTGCCAGGCTGCTGGGATGTTCTCATTCAGCACTCAACCTTTTCAGAACTTCAGATTTCTTTGATCTGGAGTCAGGTCCAGACAATTGCATATTTTTATAATCCTGTAGGTGATTCCAAAGTGAAGCCAGGATTGAGATCTGCTGGATTAGAATAGAAATACAAGCACAGAGTTCCTAGTTTGCTAGTAGAAAAATACCAAGTTTCCAGGGGTGCCCCGCAGACAGGAAGAAACCTGTCCAGTAACAAAACAACCTGGTGGGAGGCAGGGAACCCCAAAGAGAAAAAGTTGACCTGGAAAACATTCTATGTGCTGGGAATTGTCAGGGACATTTCAGAATTGGGTGTTTAATATTCAATTCTAAATTCTCATCATAGCTATTAAGTGGCTCGTGTAAGCCTACAAATCACCAGTCAAGGTGGTTCCATGTTCATCCCTGTGGGAGAGGATGCTCTAAGGAAGGGGGCCAGTGCCACATTCGGTCATCATAGGGGGAAAGGAACAGTCAAAGGCCCCTCTGAGAGTCCTTAGTAGAGCAGCATTCCAGGTCCCCTGATGAACTCAAGGTGCAAACAAAGGCTGATCCCTTAACCCTGAAGGATTTGTCACACAAACACATGTAACCATGGTGACTTATGGTGGTCACTGCTACTGAGAACCTAGAAAGAGCACTGGCACTGGGAGAGGCCATGACACGTTTAGAGAGAAAGAATCTGAGGCCCAGAGAAATAGAGGCATCTGCTGGAGGCCACACAGCAAGTTTCCAGTGGAGCTGAGTCCATCAGCCGTGGAGTTGCTGAGTTCCCTGGCTCGTGTGAAGGCTCAGCAACTGGATACCAGCATTTACAAAGAGCATCTTCTGGGGATGGAGAGTGTGGAGGGACAGGACTGTGGGACATCACAGAGCACAAGGCACGTCACACCAACTTCCCCTCCAGAATGATCTGGAAGTTGCTCCCTACCCTCACCCTCATTACCCTCACCCTCTCCCAAAGTCATGCAAACCGAGCCCAGCCAAAGACAAACAACCCAGAAGCCTTTGCTTTCACATTTAATCAAAGGAAAAGAAAGAAAACTGGTTGGAGAGAAAGCTCAGGAATTGGATGGTTGAGGGAGGGGAGAAGGGAAGGCAACAGGGCTGGGGCTGTGAGGACAGTGGGGGAAAGAGTCCTCATTATCCTGAGATCCCTCAAATACAAGCATCCACAATGAGAGGAGAATAGAGAACTGAGTGGGTGAACCCAGCCCCAAGGTCCTGGGACTCGGGCAGGGGAGAGGGCACAACTCAGGCGGGCAGAGGGCATGGAAAGGAGAGAATGGCCCTGCCTTACCCCAGTCACCCTCAGGAGAGGTCAAGGTGCAGGTCCAAGCCTCTACTTCCAAGTTCCCCGGTGACGTGGAGACTAGCAAAGGCCCCTGTGGTCATGGCCTAGAGAACACCCCCATCTTCCTCCTGTTCCAAGTCCCCTTAGGCTGAGGGTGAGGGTGAGGTAGGGGAGCACTGAATTGAGTATTAAAAAGAACAGCAACTAAAAGGAGAAGAGGATTAAAAAGATGGATGCATAGTGGATGCAGAGCTATGCAAATGAGATGGGAGGAGGTTCGGCCTTTACATCTTATTTGCATATTCTATGCAAATGTAAATGAGATCCTAATAGAATAAATATATTTCTAACTTTGTAATAAATATTCTGTTTCTTCTCCCTCCCCTTCCCTAGGAAATGGGCACACAGTGGTTCAAGGGCCAGCATGGCTGACACTGCAGCAAGGACTGATGGGACACTCAGGGGGACTGGGAAGCACAGGGGTTGGGGGTGAGGGCACTGGGGTGTCCCCTGCAAGGACAGGCTAACCCCAGAAAGGATCACAGAGAAGGACGAGGGGGAGATGCCTGGGGAAGTCTAGGACAGTATTCTTTTCTGGAAGGGGATTCTCCTATTTTACACAATTGCCCTCCCCAAGGACTGGAGGGTGGCATTTAGGGCAGGGGAACGACAGGAAAGTTGGAGGAAAACATCTGGGGAGGGCCAAGGCTCTAGAATCTAGGGTAAGAGTTTTCTAAGAAATGGGGGCTCAGAGGGAACCCCAAAAAGGGCCCTAAAGAGTGACCTCCAAAACAATCCTTTGCCTCCCCCCACCAAAAACCAAACCCAACACCAGAGGCAGAAACATGGGCCTGATGCTGCAAGATGGAGCCACAAGCTATGCAGACTGTGATGCGGGTGGCGCCCCCTGGAGATGTGCAACAAGGGGTCCACTAGACTGCAAGCATCTTCTCCAGCCTGGGTTCCAAAACCCGGAGCTCACAAGGTCCCTTCTACACCCTTCCCTGGACCCCAGCTGGCCCTGATGTGAGTGGGTCACCTGGGCCTGGTCTGAGAGAAAACCAAATGGCCAAGGGCCACAGACAGGGAGCCCAGACATATCCCCAGTGGAGCTCGTCGTCAGTAGCAGCAGGCTCCCCATTGCAGGGCTTACCTTCAACCACCCTGACCAGCTGAGCCCGCTGACCCTGCCAGCCTGGCCCCAGGGGAGCAAAGCTGACCTCTCAGGGCACATCGGAAAGTCTGTGGGGAGACTTCGGCAGTGAGAAGCTGTGGAGGAGGGAGGGACAAGGCAGCGTCCACCCGTGGGACCCAGCTCCGCTCCGAGGAACTGAGGGCTGCGCTGCTCCTGGACCGTGCCCACGGGCTCAGCCTTGCCTCCTCTGGGATGGCATGAGGCTGGCGTGACATCCTATGCACCACCCCCCACCGCCGCAGGGAAACAGCCTAAAGCCTGCTCCTGGGCAGGGATGGGAGGGGAGCCCAAGAGTGGGGTGGGAGTGGCCAGTCCAGAGGAGAAAGGCGACTGGAGAATGTGGTGGGGGCAGTGTGCCCACTAACCACACGGCCTCGGCAGCTTTTTCCTTCTCTGGATTGAGCTTTATGGAGGTGACTCTGACACTCTCCTGGGCACAGCTTAGCTCTCAGAGAGGGACATCTAGTGGCCAATGGGCATCAGGAGTGGGCAGCACCTGGGCACAGAGGTACCCCATGAACGCCCACGCCCCTGGCAGTGCACGCCTCTGCACTGAACCAGACTTAGGGCCCGCGAGGCGCCATTATTCAGGGAGAGCCAGGGGTAGGAGCTCAGGATGGTGGCTGGGGGTCACGGTGGGGGGATAGATCCAGGGTTCTGGGTCACAGCCTAGAAGGGACAAGGTCCGGCTCAATACACCCAGCTGACGGGCACCCACTGGGGCTCCGTCCGCAGCTTCTCCATGGCGGCCTGGAGCTCGCGAAAGGTTCTCTCCAGGTTGCTGTTTACCAGGCTGAGGTCAAAGTAGTGCTCGTAGCCCCGCTGGATGCGGCTGCTCTCCTCCACTGTCCGCCTCAGGTCTGCCTCCTGCTCGGAACAAGGGGACCTCCTGCCAGTCAGTGACCCCTGTCATCCCGGGCCTACATCCTGCCCCACCCAGGTCCTGCCCCCAGACTCCCTGGCTCGTGGGCAGGGGCCCCTGCTGTGGGCCCCCAGGCAAGCTCTCTTACAGCCACAGACAGGTGGATGAAAGGAAGGAAATCACTTGCAGTAAGTGCCATGCAAGGCAAGGAGCGCTTTGCAGTGCACACAAGCCACTACAGCTCCACAAAGCAGACTAGTTGGTCCTTGTTTGCAATAGAGATAACTGAGGTCACACAGTCAATCAATGAATAGGGTCTGCCTGACTCCAAAGGCAGTGCTCCCTGCAGTCTAAGGAGGCCCTCTTACCTGAGAGGTCCCTCCCATACCTGGTGCTAGGGCAACCTACAAGCGCCTGAGGGCAATGCTCAACCAGACCCAGTTGAAGCTGGCCCAGCAGTGGTGGGAAGGGAACCTCAAGGTTGACTTAAATAAGCCAAGCAAGGCAGCAGCTTAGGGCTGGCCAGCTGTGACCCAGCAGCTGCATCCAGCTGTGTCTGAGCCCTGGGGGACCTGCTGCAGCAGTGGGGGAGCCCTGCCCAGACAGCCTCTCCCAGACCTGAGCCCAGCTCAGACCTGCGGCAGGAGAGCTGTAGTACCAGAGCAGACCAGCAGAGGGACCCCGAGCGCAAGGTTCAGCAAACACTACGTCTCCTGGGAAAATGGGGGCGCCAAGGTACCTGGGAAAATGGGGGGCGCCCTGAAATCATACAACACCTGATTTGGAGTCTCTGCTCCCGGTGTTGTCGCCTCACTGATGCTAACTCGTCCTTATAGCCAGCCTCCCAGTCTCTGGCTTTCTCCCTCCCTTTAGCCTTCCCCCGGCAGTAAACAGCCCTGGGCCCACCTGGCCCATCTCTGCCCACAGGGCCGCCCGCTGGATCCCCTTGGTCAGCATCCTGTCCCTGCAGGGTGGACTGAGCAGTGGGCTGGGAGTCAGTAACTCCTGCGCCCTGAGCTAGCTGTGTCCCTGATTCAGTGACTTAGGGAAGCCCCACTTTCTGGCTCAGAAGGCTGTTTCCACACCACTTAAAGTAGAAATCAGAAGTCCTGCCTCACTGACACCTTGGGTGGGCACCTCTCCCCTTCTGTGGCACTATCTCCTCTTAATCAGCTCCAACCACCCCCCAAGACCAAAGGCGACCACCACACACTCCCCCTGCCCCGCAGAGCCCCTCACCGTGAGCTGCTTGGTGGACACCCCACTCTCCAGGGCAGCCCGGTTCATGGCCCGCAGAGTCTCAAAGTCGGGGGCCTCAATGAACACGACGTACGGGACGAACTCAGCTGTTCTCAGCACCTTCACTGCCTGCAGGAGAAGAGGGTCGGGAAGTACATCCCCACGGACACCCTGGGGCAGGAGGAAGGACAGCTGGGCGACTGTCCCTGGGAACGGATGAGAAGGGGTGCCTGGGTTTCTGGGACATGCCCCGGGAGGAGTGGTAGAGGAGCAGTGGCAGGTGAGTGGGGACGGGGTAAGGGGGGAGGTTGAGGGCAGGGGATTAAGGCAGCTGTCCAAGAGACTCCAGGCAGGCTGGGTCGCTTGGATTGATGAGTTTACATGGGGGTGCCTCTAAGGCCGGTGCCTGGAAACAGATGGGGCGTCTGGTGGGGGAGGAGAGCGAGTGCCCAGAGAGGAGGTGGGCAGACTGGGAGGGAGTGGGCCAGGCAGTACCTGGGGGTTGACATCCAGCACGCACACCTTGCCAGCAGCAACCACGCCCCGAATGGAGTCAATACGTGTGCCATACAGGTTGCCCTCGTATTCGCCGTGCTCCAGGTAGCGCCCGGCACGGATGTCAGCCTCCATCTCCGCACGAGACACAAAGCTGTACCCCTGGCCTTCCCGTTCTGAGTCTTTGGGCCTTCGAGATGTGTCTATGGGACAGAGAGCCAGATGAGCACAGGGTCACACCACCTGCCGCCACCGCTGCTTCCCACACACTGTGTCCTCACACCCTCACTACAAGCACAAAGACTTGAGACAGCCACACTGACAGACCTCAGAGACCGCCTGCTCTGTCCCAGGGCCCCCAGGTGGGGGCTGAGGCCCAGAGGGCAGTGGGCAGCTCAAAGACACACAGCAAGGCCCAGCTACCAGGGGGTAGCACCCAGATTCCTGCCTCCAGGAACCAGAAGCTTTCACCGCCTCGGTTGGTTCTGTCACCAAGAAGTCCTGTTTTCTCAAGGCCACAGGCGGCTCATCGCCCTGTGTCCAAAAGGCCCTGGCTGGACTTATCGCAAGTGAAACATGACAGAAGGAGAGGCAGGCAGGCTGGCGCAGCCCACCAGGCCACACGTTCCTGGGACAGCACCCCTGCCTTCCCCAGCCCGTCGCTCCCCCACACCTGCAGAGGGTGCATACTGCCACACTGGTCCCTGGGCCGCCCTGCCCCCAGCCCCACCCACAGCTCCAGCACCCACTCACAGGGCACTGTGGTGCCATAGCGATCCGGGTCCCACATGATGAGCTTGTTCTTCAGGCTGCGCCGGCCCACGCCCTGTGCCCCAATCAACACCAGGGTTTTCCGGCGGAAGGGGGGCATGCGGGCCACCTCCTCATAAATGAGCAGCTCGTGGCGGTCAAACTCTGGACACAGGGAGAGGGCACCGCTCACCAGGCTGCTCATCAGGCCGTGGGGGTGGGCTGGGCTCACCGGGGGCCAAGGACAAGAGGGCTGGGCCGGGGAGCAGGACAAACTGGGCAGGGCCAAGGGCCAAGACTGGCAGCAGCAGCAGCAGGACAGTGTGTTCACGGGTCGCTTGTGGGGAGCAAGGGGTCACGCCCTGCTGGAGGGGGGGAGGAGGGGAGAGGCAGCCGGGCACCTCCAGCACCCACCTGCATTCTTGGTGGTCAGATACATCATTCGCTTCTTTTTCTTTCCTGAAAGGCTGCCACAGAGGGTCCCTGGTCATAGGGAGACGGGGTCAGGCGAGGCCTGTTCAGAGGCCAGATTAGGGCCCGGGGCGGGGGGCTCGTACCTGAGGTAGGGGTCAGCTCCAGGTCGCGCTTCACAAAGGCTTTCCGCTTCTCCTCCAGCAGCTGGCTGGGGATGAGCCCGGCACTGCCCCCTTCCACATGGCAGGCCTGAGATGGATGCGGGCAAAGAGCTGCCTGAGTGAGAGGAAACCTCCCCGGCCCTCACCCCCACACACCATTCCTCACCCCACACGAGGCTGGGGCAGGCCCAGCTCACCTGCCACCAATTAGCGTCATCCTGGTTTACAATCTGGAGCAAGTCCCCGGCGTTGAAGCACAGACCCGCTTCCTTGCACGGGATGAGGCTGTCTCGGGCAGGGTCATAGTCAAAGTGGCATTTCACAAATACCTGAGCCAGGAAGAGCAAAGGGTCAAGGGAAAAGGTCGGGGGAGTCTGGAAGGCAGCGTGTCCTGGGGGCCCAGGGGAGGGTAGAGGGGCTAGAGTCCTGCTCTCTCTCCACAGGCACAGGCCCCAGCATAGCCCCTTGTCCACCAGAGGGGGACAAGGCATGATGCCCCCAGGCCTGCCTTGTCCACCTCCCTGGTGCCAGCCTCCCTTTGCATCTAGAACAAAAGGACTCAGGTAGGGATCAGGAATCTGCTCAGGCCTGAGGCCATGGCTCCCCCAACCTGGATCTCCTGGAAAGCGACATGATCCTGGCACCTAATGCCAGGCCCCTCCATCCACCCAGCCCCTTCCCTCGGAGAAAAGAGCTCTGTCTGATGGTCAGAGAGCCACAGGGGAGGTGGGCACAGCAGCCAGACCCCCACAATCTACCAACCAGAAGGCAGCTGTACACTCTACACCAGCACACCACAGGCACACTTATTTGTACGCTCAGCCCAGGTCTTGTGCCCTGTCCCTTGCACATGTGCGTGAGTGCCCAAGATGAGCATGAGCAGGTGCACCAGGCTGGAGGCTGGTACCTGGCTGGCTCTGCTGGTCCCATCCCCTATTTTGCTTTGATCACGTAGGTTGGGGAGAACAGGCTCCTGCCCGGATGCCTATAACCCTGCAGCCGGAGGCTCAGCCACCCTTGGGCCTTGTGCTGGGGGTGGGGGGCTTGGCGGAGGGCCCACCTGGCGGGGTAGGTGAGGTTCCTGGTAACTGGGCAGGATCTTGAGTATGACGCTGCCACTGGCACTGCGCAGGAGCTCCTGCAGTGCGCGGGGGTCGCTGCCCACAGGCTGCCCGTTCACCTCTTTGATGATGTCACCCACGTGCAGCAGGCCTTGCTGCGCCACCATGCCCCCGTGCAGGATGCGCGCGATCACCAACTCCCCGCCTTCCACGCGGAACGTCACTCCCTGGGACAGAGAGCAGCCACAATAGGACCCCAACTGCTTCAAGTCAAATAGGCCTAAGCGCCCCCTCTATTCTGATCCCCACCATTCCACCCCCAGAGTCCTCCTCTGACACCCTCTGCCCAATTTCATCATTAACAGCAGCTCTGAGGAGGGGAGGTGGGAGAATGGAGGGTCCTGGCACACGCATAGATGCGGCTTATATCTGTACCCACACGGTCTGGGGCTCCTGGGGCTGCAGGCAGTGGGCTGCAGAGCCGACCCCGTGCACAGCGGATCCCATCGTGGCCTGCAGCCCTCTCCTGAACTGATGTGACCCCCGCGGGTTACCCTCAACCGCCCTCCAGACCCCACCTGACTCCAGCTGCCCCTCACCAGGTGCTCTCCAGCAGTCTTTCGGATGCCCACCATGCGCACCGCGTCGGGAGGCACAGGCTGGTTGCTGAACGTGGGGTCCAGGCCAGGGCTGGGGGGCGGCGTCTCATAGGTCTTCGAGGCCACAGAGTCATGCGTCTCCAGGAGGGACTGGGAGATGGTGGGAGGAAAAGGGACCTTAGCGCAAGGCCGCAGCCCTTTCCGACTGGCTCTAACTTCCTGCGGGCCCCTCCCCCAGCAGCCTGTCCAGTGGCCACCCCAGCCCCAGGCAGGACAGACCTGGAAGTGGGGCTCCTGGAGGATGCGGGCCAGCTCTGCGGCCGTGCTGCTCTGCTCGGCCAGCTGCGCCAGGTCCCGCAGGATCTCCTGCACCAGCTCCAGGTTGTTGTCCCGCACTGCCTCCAGCTTTGTCTCCTCCAGCCGCTCGTGGGCCTGGGGGTGGGGCGGAACAGGTGAGGCCTGGGGCTTCCCCAGATCCTAGGGGTACCAGTGACCCCGTCTGCCCCCACACATCTCCCCATCTCCAAATCCTGGCTTTCGAGCCCATGTGGCATTGCTCCTGGTACCAGCACACGGCCTCACTCAGACCTCATCACCCTCACATGTGCACACATCTTGCTTTCTCGCCTCCAGTGGTGACTCAGACCCCGTTTAGGGAAAGGACAATGCAAAGAACAAACCTTTGTTTCCATTTCCATCTCTGATCACATTTAAAGTCTCAAGTGTCCCCTACAAGCATCTGAGTTCAAGGACGGCTTCTTCCACCCACATCAGGGTCGGTGAGTCTCGGGCATTCTGCAGCCCAGGACACGGATGCCAGGAAGGTGGAATGACATGCCCAGGTCACCGGGATGGAGCTTGGGCCTCTGGGCCCTCAGTGCAACGCTGCCAGGGAGGGGGTGGGGTGGGGTGGGGTCAAGAAATCGGCACAGGGCACCAGCAGAGGGCGCTGCGCCAACTTGTTGCTCCACTGACTGGGGTCCAGGACAAAGTGCTTTTGAAAGGGAAAAGGAATCCTTCACAGGTGACCAGCCCCACAGGGGGAGGTATGCAAGGTGGGAGGGAAGAAAGGAGTCCCATCTCAGGGATACATGTCTGAAGACGTGACACAAGTCACTGACCCCAAAGTATATCAGCAGCTCCTACATCCACCAAACATGATATCCAAGCAGGAAGTTTAACACTGACACATAATATCAACATCAACAATAGCAACCTAGTAGACAATATTCCAATGTTCGCTCTTGCCCCTAAAATATCCTTTAAAGTTTTATTTTCCTGAGCCAGGATTTAATCAAGGACCATGTGTTGCATTTGGTTATCCCTTCTTTTCATTATCTTTTCATCCAGAACAGTCCCCAGGAACTTTTGGACTTTCAGGACATTTTTATTTTTTTATTTTTAAAGATTTATTTATTTATGCATACAAGAGCTGGGGTACAGGCCAGAGATGCAGGGGGGTGAGAGGATTCACCAGAGACAGAGTGGGGAACAGAACAGGCAGACGGACCGAAATACACTGCTGAGGGGAGCAGTGGGCGAGACAGGAGAGGTCTGCTGTGCCATGTGGGTTTCTCCCTGGCCTGCCAGGGCTCAAACTTCTCCTGCAGAGGCTGCAGATTGCTTCATAGTGCGATGCTTAACCCCTTGCGCCACCAGGGAGGCCCTTCAGGACATTTTTAAAGATTCCAGGCCAAGAGTTTGTAGAAAGCCCCACAACTGAACTCATCTGATAGCTCCCTGGTGAGTAGACTCGGGTTCATCATTTTGGCAAGAGCGCTAGAGAAGTGGTCTTGTGTCCTTCCCGAATGCTCCCCAACATCTTTCACGGAGGGATTTAGCACCATTTGCTTTGTGTGTTTGTTTCTTCAATAGACATTAGTCAATACTGAGATTTGTGATTAAAATCAAACTATATGATTTTCCTCATCTCCTCCCATTTTGTATCTGCAGCCCCCTTTTCCTTCAGTGAGAACTCATTTCCCCCAAACATTACTATATTAACTTATCTGTTCTGTCCTTCAATATGCAAAAAGGTTTCAGAATTGCTATACCACTGCTACTTCTGTCACAAACCAACCAGGTAAAAATTAAGATTTGGGGCCTCCCTGGTGGTGCAAGGGGTTAAGACGCAACCTATGAAGCAACCCGCAGCCACTGCGGCACGAGTTCCATCCCCGGCCAGGGAGCTACCCACATGGCACAGCAGACCTCTACTGACTCACCCGCTGCTCCCCTCAGCAGTGTATTTCATTAGGTCCTCCTGTTCTGTTCCCCACTCTGTCTCTGGGGAATCCTCTCACCCTCCGCATCTCTGGCCTGTACCCCAGTTCTTGTATGCATAAATAAATAAATCTTTAAAAATAATTAAGATCTGCATTTCTTTTTTTAAAAAAGATTTATTTATTTATGCATACAAGAACTGGGGTACAGGCCAGAAGTGTTGGGGGCGAGAGGATTCACCAGAGACAGAACAGGAAACAGAACAGGTGGAATGACTGAAATACACTGCTAAGGGGAGCAGCAGGCGAGTCAGGAGAGGTCAGCTGTGCCATGTGGGTTGCTTCCTGGCCAGGGATCGAACTCGTGCCGCATAGGTTGCATCTTAACCCCTTGCACCACCAGGGAGGCCATGCATTTCTTTTTGTCTTCAGAATAGTGCTGTCTATAAGAACTTAGAGCTTTAGTAAAAGTTTTCTAGTTGCGCATAATATGGGAGCCACCCATCACAGGTGACTTAAGAAATATAGCTCATAAGACTGAATCAAAGTGCTTGTTATTTTAAGTATTTTAAGTATTTAAATGAATAGCCACATGTGGCTACTAGTTACTGTATTAGATAACACAGTCCTAGCACATGTCCTGCTTAGAAACAAAAGTTACTTAGTCATTCCTTTACCTGTATGATTATGCTAACAATTTTGATACATGGAATAGATTCAGTTATCTGCACTTAATCTGCATTTTGCAGTCTTTTCAATTTAATCTTATTTTTTGAATATGAACAACATTCACATGGAGTCAGATGAATAATTTAAAAATAAGGGGGAGCTCGCCACATAACAAAATAGCAAATCAAACTAATTAAACAAGCAAACAAATCCTCAAGTATCAAAGAGTGTATCTAAGAAAGAAAGGGAAATAGTTACTTATTTTTTGTGAAAAGAAACAGAAAACCCAGAAACTAATGAAAATGATTAATTACATCTAGAGTGTGTGTGGATGAGGTTGGAAGTGAGATCCCTTATTTTTTAATTACTCATCTGACTCCATTGTGTGACTGGCATATCGTCATTTATTCAACCATTCATTTATTCAAATGAATAAATCATCATTTATTCACCATGGGTTTTGGATTGTTTCTAGTAGTTTCCTGTTGCAAATAAAGCTGCAGTGAATAAAGAACCTTGCCATAGCCCTGTATCTGCAGCATCTCCCAGGCCAGATCCCAGAGGTCTTGCTGGGTCAAGAGGTAAATATCTATTGGTTTTGTTGGATACTGACAAATTCCTTTCCATGGGGCCATGGCTGCTGTGCCCTCCCTCCAGCACTGGATGAAGACTTTTCTGAAGCCTTGCCACTGAGTGTGATCAAGCCTTTGACTGTCTGCCAATCACATGGATGAGAAAGGCTCCAGCAGGCGGCTTAACTTGCTTTGTGCTTATTATGAGTGAAGCGAGCATCTCTTTGTATGTTTCGGGCCATCTGTATATTTTCTTCTGTGCATTGTCGCCAAATTTTCCATCAGGTCTTCCTTTTTTTCCTCTTTTCCCATTTTTAAACATTTTCTATATGTTTGGAAGATTAGCCCTTTATCTGTGATACTACTTACAAATACTTTTCCCAGTTTGTTTTTTGATTCTGCTATGGTTCTTTTGTCAGTGCAAAAATAACATTTTAAATGTAGTTAAAATTATGAATTTTAGATGCAGCTGAAGATTGAGGCACAGTTTTTTGTTTTGAGTCTTTTCTCACACGCAGATCCTTGTTTTCTTCTCGTGTATATATGGTTTGTTGTTTCACACTTTGATCTCTGATTGCTTGGAGTTCGCTCTGATGTATGGTGTGAGGTATGGATCTCTTTGCTATCTTTCCAAATGCTCCCCAGGAGCCCAGGACCATACATTAAAAATCCATAAGAAAATGATTATCTCACTTCTATGGGAGATCATGGTATTGTTGTTTTTTTTTTTTAATTTTTTTTGTTTTTTATTTTTTATAGAGGCATGTTTTATTTATTTATTTGTTTGTTTGTTTGTTTGCTTGTTTATACATGCACTGGGTACAGTCAGAAGCGCGGGAGGGTGAGAGAATTCACCAGAGCCAGAGCGAGGAGCAGAGCAGGCAGAAGCGAAGTACACTGCTGAGGGGAGCAGCGGGCGGCAGGAGAGGTCTGCGCGCCATGTGGGACCCTCCTCTGGTGGCCGGGGAGCAGCCGGGGATCAAACCGGCGCCGCAGAGGCCGCAGGCAGCTTCACAACCCAGCGCTCAACCACTGCGCCACCGGGGAGGCCCTGTTTAAATAATTTTTAATTGTTATCTTTTAGATATACAGATAAAATTATGTCTGAGATTTGCTTCAAAATAATTCAAGAAAGGAGTGGAAACATGAGTGAAACAAGATTGTTTATGAATTGTTAAATATGGAAGTAGGGGCCTCCCTGGTGGCAAGGGGTTAAGTCTCAGCACTATGAAGCTATTGGCAGCCAAAGCCATCAGCAGCCACTACAGCTTGAGTTCGATCCCTGGCCAGGGAGCTGACCCACATGGCACAGCAGACCTCTCCTGTCTCACCCACTGCTGCCCTCAGCAGTGTGTTTCAGTAGATCTGACTGTTCTGTTCCCCACTCTGTCTCTGGTGAATCCTCTCACCCCTGACCCTCATACCTCTGGCCTATATCCCAGCTCTTTGTATGCATAAATAAATAAAATAAATCTTTAAAAAATATATTGAAGTGGAACTATATATATTATATATATGTATATATATTATATATGGGGACTTTTTTTTTACTTAATGTTACTAAGTGAAAATTTATTTCCCTTACTATTTTTCACTCACTATTACTTTGCTAAGATTTATTGTTATTAAGTGAAAACATTTCATTTATTATGATGTTTCTATGATTCATTTTCTCCTTTTCCCACACAATGTTAGTTCATTTTAGCCCCTTATTAAGGTACACTGTGTGAATACGCGTTTTATTCCTCCCCTCTCTCCCTGCAAAGCCCTGAGTGGTTCTGTTTTTGTCATGGTGAACAGTGTGGTTATGAACATTCAAAGCAGTGTCCCGGGGGGCCATCTGTGAGAAGCTCCCCCAGGAGCAGACCTGCTGGGCTTTGGGGTAAATGCATGCTTGATGATGAAACAGCACCCCTGAAAAACATCACCCCATTCAAGTGTGACAACGACCCTACAAGATCAGAAAACT